TGGCTCTAGCAGCAAATCTGGAGGGTCACATAAGAAAAAGGGGAGAAGCATGATGCCCTAAAGCCTAATAATCCAATCTTTAAGAAGGATGGTGATAAGAGTGAGAAGTCGAGGAAGAAACCCTTTAAAGGGTTATGCAATTATTGCAAGAAACCCGGTCACATTAAAGCTAATTGCTTCAAATTAAAGAACAAACAAGAAAGTGAAGGTACAACTCTTCAAACTGCCCCTCTAGCTCTAGTTTGTTTTGAATCTAACACCATTGAAACTTCCTTTGACTCATGATGGCTGGATTCTAGTGCCACTGTACATGTTGTGAATTCTTCACAGGGGCTAAGAAACCAGAAGGTTCCAAGTGAGGCACAGAGGTCAGTCTTTGGCATAGCAGGGAGCAAGGCATCGGTTGAATGCATTGGAACTATTTCTTTATATTTAAATTCTGGTCATGTTTTACATTTGAACAATGTTGTTTATGTACCTTCTGCGAAGAGGAATTTAATTTCAACTTCTGCATTGGATATTTGTGGCTATTCATTCTTCTAAGAAAATGGGAAAATTGACATTTGTTTTGATTCCATTAATGTTGGTGTCGCTTCCTTGATATATGGTTTATATCGATTGAATGATTGGTCACCTGAACTTCCTAATCTTCATGTCAATGCTGCTATTGGGCATAAACGTCAAAGGCCCAATGATAATTCCTTTATGTTATGGCATCGTCGTTTGGGTCATATCTCTAGAGAGAGATTGGAACGCATGATCAAGCAAGGTGTCTTACGAGACCTTGATTTCTCAGATTTTGAGACTTGTGTTGACTGTATAAAGGAAAAATTCCCTACTAGAGCTAGAACCAAAGGGGCAAAGAGGTCTGAAAATACTTTAGACCTAATCCATACTGATATCTGTGGACCTATCACGCCTCCGGCTATGGGTGGTTTCAGATATTTCATCACCTTCATGGATGATTACTCTCGTCATGGATGGATTGAACTCTTGCGTGAAAAGGGCGAGTCCCTTAATGCATTCAAGACCTTTAAAGCAGCAGTCGAATTGAAATCTGGCAAGTTGATCAAGTGTGTGAGATCTGATAGAGGAGGAGAATTTTATGGGAGATATACTGAGACTGGCAGGAACCCTGGGCCATTTGCTTTGTACCTTCAAGAGCATGGCATTGAAGCTCAGTATACTATGCCTGGCACCCCGCAGCAAAATGGGGTTGCAGAAAGGCGAAATCGTACCCTCATGGATATGGTTAGGAGCATGATCAGTCACTCCTCACTGCCAGAATTCTTGTGGGGTGATGCACTCAAAACTGCTGTTTATATTTTGAATCAAGTTCCTAGTAAGTCAGTTCCAAAGACTCCATATGAGTTGTATTTTGGAAGGACTCCTGCGCTGAAGCATATGCGAGTTTGGGGTTGTAAAGCACAGGTAAAACCTTACAATCCACAACAGATGAAGCTTGATGCTAAAACTGTTGATGGTTTCTTTATTGGCTATTGCATCGGATCTCGTGGGTACAGATTCTATTGTCCAAATCACACTACTAGGGTAATTGAATCTGATCGAGCTTACTTCTTTGAAGATGCCTTAGACAGTGGGAGCTCTGTGCCTAGGCATATTACCTTGCATGACGAAAGTAGCATTTTGCCTATGCCTATCTTGACGACTCCTCATGTTGACAGAAATAATGACGTGGATCAGAATGAAGCTCAAGATGAACCACCTTTAGAAGGTGATAGGGACATGGTTGTTGAACCGAGACGGTCCCAAAGGGTTCACAAGTCTGCTATTCCAGATGATTACATGGTATATTTGCAGGAATTTGATTCAGATGTTATTGATAGCTTAGACCCAATGTGTTACCAAGAGGCTATTTCTAGCTCGCATTCTTCTGAATGGTTGGAGGCTATGAGTGAAGAAATTGCCTCTATGTACCGCAATCATGTATGGGAGCTTGTAGAGCTACCAAAGGGGTTTAAACCAGTGGGTTGCAAGTGAGTCTTTAAAACAAAACGAGGAGCTAAGGGTGAAATTGATAGATATAAAGCCAGACTTATAGCTAAAGGCTACAACCAGAAAGAAGGTATTGATTATACAGAAACCTTCTCCCCGGTATCCACCAAAGATGCTTTTAGAGTGGTAATGGCTTTAGTTGCATAGCTTGATCTTAATCTTCACCAAATGGATGTCAAGACTGCATTCTTGAATGGCGATTTGTATGAAGAAGTCTACATGACACAACCTGATGGTTTTGTTGAATCCGGTAAAGAATATCTAGTGTGCAGATTAAAGAGATCCATCTATAGGTTAAAACAAGCCTCTAGGCAGTGGTATCTGAAATTTGATGAAGTTATCATCTCTTTCGGTTTTGTTGAGAATGTCTCAGATCAATGCATCTATCAAAAGTTTGATGGGAACAATTTTGCCATTCTTGTTCTCTATGTTGATGATATCTTATTAGCCAGCAATTCAATAAATTTCCTCAATGAGATAAAGCACCTATTGTCTTGCCATTTTGACATTAAGGACATGGGTGAAGCCTCCTTCGTTCTTAGGATACAAATTCATCGTGATAGATCTCGTGGTATTCTTGGTTTATCACAGGCCACTTATATTGAGCGGGTTCTTAAGAGATTTAAAATGGATTCATGTTCTCCTTCACCTGCTCCTGTACAGAAAGGTGAGCTGTTGTCAAAGTTACAGTGTCCCAAGGATGATAAGAAGAGGACTGAAATGAGAAAGATACCATACGCTTCCGCTGTCGGCAGCCTTATGTATGTTCAAGTGTGTACTCGACCAGATATAGCCTTTGCCATTGGAGTGCTAGGTCGATACTTAAATGATCCAGGTCCGGATCATTGGAAGGTTGCTAAGAAAGTTATGAGGTATCTTCAAGGTACAAAGGATCATATGTTGACTTACAGAAGGTCAAATTCTCTTGAGGTTGTTGGGTATTCTGATTATGACTTTAAGGATCAGAAGATCTTGAGATTGTTGGCTTTTCAGATTCAGATTTTGCCTCTTGTCTGGATGATCGTAAATCCACGACTGGCTATATTTTCATGTTGTCTGGAGGAGCTGTCTCTTGGAAAAGTGTGAAACAGACACTTACAGCAGTTTCATCTATGGAAGCTGAGTATATTGCTTGCTTTGAGACTACACGTCACACTATATGGCTGAGGAAGTTGATATCTGGCATGCACCTAGTTGAGTCAATATCACGTCCTCTAACCATTTATTGTGATAACAAATCTGCAGTATACTATGCTAACAATCACAGAAATTCCAGTCGTACAAAGCATTTTGATATCAAACTTATGTTTGTGAAAGAGAAAATTGCTGAGTCTCAAACCCGCGTGGTACACATTCCTGACACGCAGATGCTTGCAGATCCACTGACTAAGGGCTTACCTGTAGAAGTTTTTCAAAATCATGTAACTTGTATGGGTATTGTGAATTCCTTTGATGCCCTAGTTTAGTGGGAGTTTGAGAACCTTTTATGTTGCAATTTCTCTTTAGGCTTTGTTTTCTTCTGTGAGTTATGTTCAGTTCAGTTAGATGCGTCTATATCACTTGTATCCCTATAGGATTCAATGATTCTGTTGTGGTACGCTATGCATATCACTTGTTTTCCCATAGGAATCAGTGATTTATGTTGTTATCTTACTGAGCTGTGTTTGAAATAAAATTTCATGTTTTATTCAGATTATGAGATATCATATCACTTGTTTCCCCATAGGATTCAGTGATTTTGTGGAGTTTCATTTTCTGAATTTTTGTTTGTGGCTTGTTTATACAACTTGCTTAATTAATGCAATCCAAGTGGGAGATTGTTGGAATATTATTTATGAATTAGCATTAATTAATAAGCCCAATAAATTGGTCCTTATGATCTTGTGTGGACCGTGATAGGTAGACCATACAAGTGAGCCCAATGGGCAGAGGCCCAACCCACAACCCAATAGCCGTCAGTTATTTCTTATCTCTTAACTGACTGAGTCAGAGATAATAGATAATATAATTATTTAATTGTTTAATAAGGCGGTTACCGATCTGATCTATATAAGACGATTAGTCGGTAACCGCAAATACACGACTCATTTTCTTCTACTTCCATTATCTCTGAACTCTCTGAAGACTCTGGGGACTTGAGGGTTGTATACCTGCCTGCACTCGAGGTAATCGAGATTTCTCTAGCACTCATGATTCTTCAGGTACGCATGAATTACTTTATTCTATCATATTATTATTATACATATGAATTGAGATATTGAAATTCAACAGAAATTAGTCTCTGAATTTTAAGTTAAATAGTATTATAAATCTTGAACTACTTTTACAATAACCCAGGAGTTTAGATTAAAATTAAAATTTATGATTAAGTATTTTAAATATATTTTTATTAATTTTTTAAAACAAATATATTAAAAGGAATCCCGGTCTGGTGGAAATCATACTACTAACTCATCAACAGGCCCTAAGCCTGAACCATGGTGGAGCAATGGAGTTTTATTTTATTTCTTTATCCTTTTTAAATTAACATTTTGCCCATCATAATCAGATTCTTTTTTCCGCATCTTGTTTCATATTCGCGAGTCATACGAAAACACAGAGGAAGATAAATCCAAAACCCTCCGCCTGTACTCTTCTTCGATTCCAGCGTCATGACCGGGTAAACCTTTAAGCCAATTAAAGCAATTGCTTTAGGCCTCATAAAAATATTATTTACATAAAAAATTTATTGATCTGTTTTCTTATAAATTAATTATATCATACTCTTAATTATAGTATGATATATTGAAAATATATCTAATAATATTATTTATTTTTTTATTAGTAAAATTGTATTACTTATTTATGAAAAAGTTATAAGAAAAAATAATTTCGCATATGTTTTGAAATTCAATAAAAATATTGAAATGATTTTTTTCACAAGCTGCTATTAAAATGAAGGTAAAATTTAATCTTAATAAGAATTATATAATTCATAAATTACACCCCACTAAGCCTCTATAATAATTTTGCCTTACGTCACTGTTCGCCCCGCTTCCTTCCTCCTCAAGTTATTGGGATTAATCTCATAAAATCTTCCTCAATTCGGCCAGAGATTGGTGTTTAGATTCCATTACCTATGAGAAATCAACGAGACAACAATTATCCAACTAACATTTAATAGAATGTAAAAAAAACTATTATATAAAAAATTAATAATATAACTTATAAATAATACTAAAAAAAATCATCTTGTAAATAAGACTAGTAAACATATATTCATGTATATTGCCCCCCGGGGGGTACAGACACATTTAACTCTTAAGGTGAGTTACAATTACAATATGTACTGTGTGTGCAAGTATAATTGCTAAAAAAGAATAAAAGAACAGGCAATGATGATTATAAATTCCTTCCTATGATAGCCATCTCATAGTTTCCTAGACGAAGAGAATAAAGTTGCATCTTTTTATTATGATGCTCATCATCTAAATTTTAACTGTCCAAATTTTTTAAATTTAAAATTTTTTACTGTTATTGTTATTTTATTTATTAAGATAAAATTGGATTAAATTATAATTTAAATCCTCAAATTAATGTTAAGGTATGATTTAAATCATAAACTTTAGGTTCTACTGTAATTTAGACTCTAAACTCATATCTAATATTCCTTTCAAATTTATTTATAAATATATTTTAAAAGATCTATTAAATTTTATTTATAAATCATCGTATGATTTTTTAAGTAATATTTAAAAAATATTTTTAAAATTATTATTTATAAAAAAATAATATAACATTTAATTTTTAAAATTATTATATGAGAATATATTTAAAATTTAAAATTTTTTATTTTTTATATTAATATTAATAAAGTTGATAGAAAGAATAAACTCTCAACAATTAAAGTTGATATAATCATAACCGCTCTTACTTTTAAACATTGCAGGGCTCACGTGTCTTCTCACCCACTCCTGTTTCTCTGTATCGCACGGTGAACCTGATCTCAGGCACAAACCCTTCACTTCCCTCATGCCGACAGTCGCTCCTTTCTTTTCTACCTTAAAGGCTTCTGCATCTGAAAATGGGATCGGGCCTTCAGTTTCAGCTGCAACTGCAGTGGAATTGGAACAAGTCGGTCCCGGAGCCTTCCCCACCGTTGTCGTAGAAGCATGAGAGCCCCGCCGGAATAATGGGTCTCTTGCTGCAATGGCCGCGGAAGTGAAGGTGGTCAGTAATTTTGAGGACCCAAGATGTGTTGGAGGTACTTGGGACATCAGGCAATTTCAGAAAAATGGCCAGACCAACTGGGATGCCGTTATTGATGCCGGTGAGTTGATGAATTTGTTGTAGTTGCTAAACACGCCGTCCCGTCATTGATTTCTCAATCAACTTGGCCAACAGAAAGAAGAACAACAACAATAGTAGTTCGACAGATTACCATGATCTTGGTGCTGAAATGCGAGGTGCTTGTGGCTCTGCTTGCGGTGAAGATGGTGGGAATTCAATATAACGCTTTCTGGGTTATGAATTTCACTGAAATGACAGGAAGATTGAATTTCAAAACCGTATGAAGTGGTATGCATCGATGCTTTCTTGATATAATTTTCATGTACTTGTTTTGATGAAGGGGTGAACAACAGCAATTCATAAATATTCGTCTTCCTCAACATGATTTCTTTTGAATTCCCTGCAATCTCGGTTTGATATTTTGATAATCCACTCTGGGAGAATGAATTTGATGCGTGGAATTGATCTGATGAAAATTGCTGAGAAAATGAATGGTGCTTCTGGGGCAGAGCTCAAGATGATTTTTCTCTCTATTTGTGTTTCATCTTTGAACTTTGATGCTTTTCAGTCTGCGATCATGGTAATGGTCCTTGTTTGAGCACTGGATGGTGGATATTGAAAACTCTGGGTGTTTTCAGTGGTTACTCCATCGTTGTGGCTATTAAAAGTTTAAATGGTCCCTGCATTTAGTCAAGCACTTAATTTGTCATTTAATCTTAAAAAATTTAATACATTTACTTGGTCACCATTTATTATATATTTAACTAGTTTAGATTTAATTTAAATAGTATAAATTTAATATTAAAGTTTTTTTATAGTTGTTATGAATTGATTTTTTTGATCTAATCTACACAATTCAGATTTAAAATTTTTAAATTATAATTTTTTTAAAAATATTTTGAGGAAATGATAGTTGTAAAATTATCTTTATTTTTTAATATTATATTTACCAAAATAAAAATTTTAAAAATTTATTATTGAATTTAAATTATTTAAAATATATTTGAACAATTAATTTATAAAAGTTATAAAAAAAATTTGAATATTAAATGCAACTGTTGAATTTAAAAAAAAATAGATTGTTATTTTATATTTAAAAATGAATGAGAAACTGAGAATAACTACTTTTAAAACAACATAAGTTATATGACTTTATGTGGAATGAGGGTGACCTAATGTTCTTCTTGTGCTTAAGAAAAACCAAAAAATAAAATAAATTTTTTTAAATTATATAAATAATAATTTAATCTTTTAAGATATCATAATAAATTTTAAGAATTTTTATGTCAATAAATTTTAAATTAAAAATATTATTTTACTTTTAATAATAAATTATAATTTTTTATTTAATTATTATAATTTTTTAAATAAAACTTATTATTTATTAAACAAAAGTTGTAATTGAAATTTTTTATTTTAAAAAATAATTTTTAATAATATAAATTATATTTAATAAGTTGTACTTTTTTATTCAACTTTTATAAATTACAGAATAAAAGTTATTATTTCTTAAATAAAATTTGTGATTGAAGTTTATTATTTTAAAATAAAAATTATATTTAATAAGTTATAATTTTTTATTTAATTCTTACGATTTATAAAATAAAAATTATTATTCTATAAATAAAAGTTGTGATTAAAATTTATTATTTTTAATAAAAGTAAGATAATTTTTTACTTTAAAATTTATTAATATAAAAAATTTTAAAAACTTTAATAAAATTATAATATTTTAAAAGATGGTATTATCATTTATATAATTAAAAAATTTATTATTATTTTTTGAAAAACTTAATCATGGAACAAGACAATGTCACCTTCTTCCAACTTTTTTTTCCTCTTTGAGCAGAAAAACTTTCTTCATATTTTCTTCTGTTTCCAATCAGAGGGCATCCTGTGTGATAACGAAAATCAAGTAATTTTCCATCTTCCTCCACGCCCTGCGGTCCACCACAGGATAACTCTGTCATAACATCGCCAATTACAAAACACCATGTGTCCCAAAAAGATTCACTGGACAAATACACGTGTTTCCTGTGTGTCTTGGATTTTTGTTTCTCCGCGAGAACACCCTCGAACCTGTCTTCTTCTCCGAATGACCTAATGGAAGAGACCAAAGGAAGAGTTTGTGTTACAGGTGGTACTGGCTTTATTGGCTCCTGGATCATCAAGAGGCTTCTTGAGGATGGTTACTCTGTTAACACTACCATTAGATCTCACCCAGGTTTCAATGTCTATCCATATATTTCAAGCAAATATATCAGCTGTCAATTTATCTTCTGTAATAACTCCAAGTATTTCCCAAGAGATTTCCGGGTGAAAGCTCCACAATTTTCTGTCCAAAACAGTTTTTTGGTCTGTTGGTTTTCTCTAGTTAATACGAAACCTGTGGGTCTTTCTCTATATTTTTTTTTTTTTGGTCGATGGGTCTTTCTCTATTAAGTGGCGTTGTTTTAAACTTTCTTTTTATGGGAAAGTGCAAATCAGATGAAAGAAAGGTTTTTGTGGTGATGGAGTCTTGCGATTTTCTTGTCCACATTGCAGAACACAAGAAAGATGTGAGCTTCCTCACAAATTTGCCAGGAGCTTCTCAGAGGCTACAAATTCTGAAGGCAGACCTAAGCGACCCAGAAAGTTTCAAGGAGGCCATTGAAGGGTGCGTTGGAGTATTCCACGTGGCTACTCCAGTAGATTTTGAGGAAAAGGAACCTGAGGAGATTGTGACCAAGAGATCCATTGATGGGGCATTGGGAATTGTTCAAGCATGCCTCAGTATAAAAACTGTAAAGAGAGTTGTTTACACTTCCAGTGCCTCGGCTGTTTCTTATGCTGGCAAAGAAGATGAAGTAAAGGATGAGAGCTTATGGAGTGACGTGGATTTACTTAGAACTTCAAAGACATTCGGATGGTCCTATGCAGTTTCTAAGACATTGACAGAGAAAGCTGTGCTTGAATTTGGAGAACAAAATGGATTAGATGTTGTCACTGTGATTCCCACCTTTGTTGTTGGACCATTCATTTGTCCTAAGCTTCCTGGCTCTGTTGGTTCAACGCTCTATTTTTTATTCGGTTTGTGCTTCACTCTACTCCGTGTCACTTCCAATGCAGTTCTAACATTTAATTTTAAACTTACTGTATGTGGTTATGCAAATAATTTAGTTCTGTATAATGTCATAACATGTTGGTATTTTTAATATCTGATGCAGGTAAGAAGGACCCATTTTGTTATCTGCAAACACCCATGGTTCATGTTGATGACGTAGCAAGAGCTCACATATTTCTGCTTGAACATCCCAATCCCAAAGGGAGATATAATTGTTCTGCATGTTTGGCAACCATTGAAAAAGTGTCTGAAATTGTGTCTGCTAAATACCCAGAATTTCAAATGCCAACCAAAGAGTGAGTTTATCTTGTCTTTTTCATTGTTGTTTTGCAGATATGAAAATTTGATTCAAGTATATGACTTTGTCTTCTATGTGTTTTAAAATTTATACTTCATTTCCTCTCTGCTTATTCATTGTATAGTTCCATAAAAGTAGGCACTGGCTCAAAATTTCCAGATCTGTCATCTAAGAAGCTCATAGATGCTGGATTCGAGTACAAGTATGGACTTGAGCAAATGTTGGTGGATGCAATTGAATGTTGTAAGGAAAAGGGTTATCTGTAGTTATGGTATATTGCGTTATCAGATTATCCTCTCAAAATATGGTATGTAAGGTGCTTAATAGTAATATGACATGTATGTGCGTGCGCGGTTATAAGTTAAATTGTATGACAAATCATAGTTTAGTATATCTCTTATGAACTTGACAGCTATGTATATGAAATGTTGTTTCTACAGAATGAGGGCATGATTTGTGTGTGTTACTGATAGGCTGGCCCTGAAGGTGTTTGTACAGAAAAAAGTTAGATTACTCAATGAAAAAGCCTTTCAGATCAATCTCATATTAACTGGGTCCTTGGAAGCTTGTTTTGGCCATGCTCCTTTGAAGTTTGAACACTCAAAACCTCTTCAAGTATTGCTCTTTAATTTACTTTGATTGACCTTCATGACAATGCAATGAATCCTTTGGTGTCTGCAAGCTTCACTCTAAATTCTTATTTGGTCATATTCACTCCATTTTTGAATAGAGGAAAATTTTAATCATCTCACACAATTTAAGAAAATTAGTGAATCACAGTAATTATATCTGAAATTAAAATATTTGGACTAAAATGCCCTTATAATTATTATTTACTTTTTTTTTCAATTTAATGATACTATCCATTAATGAGGGACAGTTTGGAAAAAATGTAATTATTGCTTCTTGAAATTTATAGTTTTGTTTACAATAAAAAAACAAAAAATATTAGTTTCTCTTATTTTTGAAAACGGAGTGGTATTTTACAAAGTGCAAATCAGTCATTTAAGAGAGATTTTTCTCCAAATTAAAAAAAAAAATGAAAAACACAACTATTGATTCTATAATTTTATTGAATTTTGCTTTTAATTCTTCTTCTTTTTTTTTTTTACAATGTTTTTAGTTTCTATAGTTTTATCAAGATTTGATTATGTTTGTTTCTTATATTCCTAACAATATTAAATTACAAGAACTGTAAGGATTAAAAATAAAAGGTTTGAAAAATAAAATTTGATAAAATTGTAAGAAATTGTGTTTTTCCTTTGGAAAACATAGTTTGGCCCATAAAATGTATCAAATGCCATTTGTTATCTTCTGATTAAGCTCCTGTTTTGCATCTACCTTTAACAACAATCCAGGGTTGTTGCAACTTTAATGAACCCAAAAGAAATTATGTATCACTACTGTAACTAATTTTTATTTGAACTTGTAAATAATGTTGGATTTGAGTGATTGTTGTGAAGTTATAGTGCATTAGGTTGATTTCAAGCCCCACTGCGATCTGAATATTGTACCCAATAAAAACCTAATTGAGAGAATTAAGGGGAAAACATAAACAGAAGAGGAAGAAAATGCTTCTGATGAAAGCCTTACAGTCTGCAACCTGGAGCTTCGGCCAATTTGGCATTCCCTCACCCTCATTCTGTGTTTGTTTGGTCATTATAACTTTTTTTTTTTAATATCATTCATTTGTTGACAAAATGTCTCTCTAAATTCAATTATTTCTGCTGATAAATAAAGAAAATTTATCATCAAACTTGAGAATTATATTTTCCGCACAGTTTTTTTTTAATTACATATAAATGTCCTTTTATTGAAGACAATTTTATTCAAGCTTTCAAAGCACAATTAAGTATTAGATATGAGTACCTCTCATAATGAGAATTTAAACCTTGATTCACTATATTGTGAAGGATTAATTTCTTTTACTATACCCAATTGACAATTATATAAAATTGATATTATTTTACATTTTGCACCATTTAAGATGAAAATATAATTAAAACTAAAATTAAATTAAAAATAAGAAAATATGAACTGTTCATATTATATTTGAAATTTTTCTAAAAAAATTATATACAAATTTCACTCAAAATAATTAATTTATCTCTAAGGCCATTGTATTTTCATTCTCCTAAATTTAATTGTCAATAAATTTGGGATAATTATTTGTCTTGAATGAGACAAAATAATTCACCCTTCCTCTTTTTGACCTTGAAAGTTTGGATTATTGGATGGTTTAATGTATATCTGCTCATGATGTCCATTTGCATTGATGTTGAAGAAAAGTTTTTTATTGCCACAATCACGCGTCCTTATTTGAGAGGACTCAAAATATGACTTTTAAAATTGTAGCCAAAATTCCACATTGAAACCTTCACCATATGCCCAGAGTCAAATTTAAATTTGAAAACAAATCAACTTCAATCATCAATCAACATATTATGTAGGAGGAAAACTTAATCTGTACAAACCTTGTTGATTTTAGATTTTGAAAATGCTCTCGTCTCGTTGCCTCAATTAATTGTTTTCCTTTCCAACAAGTTTCTATGCTTTTTGAAATTTCATACTTTTTTTATTGGGTAAATAAACAAATTGATCTTAAAATTATAAGTTCAAAAACATCTTATACTCTATACTCATATTTTGTATAATAGTTTCTTTTAACTTTTAAAAATAATATAATTTGACCCTTGTCTTTAACAAAAGATAACTTTGACATTTAGTTTATCCAAAAAAATAAAAAAAATTACAAAAAATTTAAAAATTACAGTAAAGAACTCAAAAAATATAGACAAGTACTAAAAAATTACAGAAAATAATCAAAAAAATTGAATACAATGGTGTATCATACTTCTCATCCTATCTTTAAGTTACTTTTGGCATGTTTTACTTAAAAAAAATTTAAAACCCATTAACTCTATATAAAATTTTAATAAGTTTCAAAATACAAGCGTATTTAGGTAATTAATGTTTGTCATTTGAAATTTACTTTTTAACTTTTAAGATGTTAAATATTGTTTGGGTAATTTTTAATTGAGTAAAGTGACTTTTTAAATGTGGGTTGAGATGGAGTTGAAATTTACCAACTCTATTTTTTGGTGGACTTGTAATGTAGATTTACCAACTCTATTTCATATTTGTATAATTTAAAATAATTTGTTTCAATATTTAATTAATTTCTATTCTTTGTTGGTAAGTGAATATTATTTGGTGGATGCTAGCTATCTAACGCCATGTGAAAATTTAGGTTTTTATAAATCTCATAAGTATCACCTCCTAATTTTCGGGCGTTCATTTGAATTTAAGGATCACGATTGAAAGGACTTTTAGGGTTTGAAAAAACATATTTACAATCATATCACTCTTGCCTAGTTATCCATTTGTGATGCATGTTTGTATAATTAATGCAACAATGACTATACATAATTTTATTAAAAGAAATTCTATAACTTATTTTGACTTTAGGCATTTTGAGGGAAAAAAAAGTGATTAAGACTCATGATAATAATAACAAGAACGCATTTCCATCATCAATTAAAAGTGCAATTTCAAGCGTGACTATAGATAGATAAATAGAGTTTGCGATTCTATTAGATATCATATTATACATTATAGATTGAACCATTAATCAAGTAACTATTCAATTTTAATGAATATTGAACTATTTATTACATAATTTTTCCAATATTAAACTATATATTTTTTTTGTTATTATTTAACATCTTAAATTTTATATTATTTTACATTTTTTATATTTTTTAAACATTTTTAATATATTATATTTGTATGACAAAAATTATCAATTATTATAAATCAAAATCCTTTTTAATCATTGCATATTTAAAAGTATATTTTAAAAGCACAAAATATCATTAATTCAAATAACTTTCAATTTATCAAATTGACTTTTAAAAAAATATATCCAACTATAAATTTCATTACAAGAATTAATTTTTATTTAATTTTTATTAAATGAACTTTCAATCAATATATTTTTAATAAATTAAAAACTAAACACACACTACATTCTTTAATAGTATACTTCCTCCTACTAACATTTTTATTTTGACCAACTGAACTGCATTTCATCAAGAAGCAAACAAGGGTTCAAACAGAGAAAGCAAAAACATGTGTACGAAGATAACAAAAGAAGATGCAACAAACAAAATGTAACAATCAGGCCACCAATTAAACAATACCTTCCCTGTCTGCACTCATCCCAAAATGATCCTCTGATACGAAGGCAAAACCAACATCTTGATGAATAATCTAAGCTAGAGGATGTGGTGGTGGATCACAGATCTCGAATCAGGCAGTGCTATTGCCAATCACACGAAAGTAAACTTCTGCAGTTGCGTGGCTTATAGAGGTCTGCATAGGGGAAAATTTCATTTTAGACCCTTGACCAAATGTAATTTAAAAAAAAAAAAGCTAAATTTTGAAATTTCATTACAAATCAAGGATAGTGAAGTAAAATTAAAATATTAAAAAAAATAACAAAATTAATCCTTTAATTTTGTGAAACTATGAAAACAAATAATTTCAATAAAAAAATGAACCATTTCAGTATGACAAATGAATAATTTTAACATAAAAAATTTACAATTTTATTTAATATAATAACAGCAATTTGAATAAAAACAAATCAACTATGCGCACCAACAACTCCAATAAAAAATTAACCACTTTAATATAAAAAATGAACAACTTTAGTATCAAGAACTTGCAACTATTTAATAAATTTAAGTAAAGTTATGCACACAAATAACTTCTATAAAAAAAATAACAATGAACTATAATATGAAAAATTTACAACTCATTTTACCATAATAATAATAATAAGAATAAATTCAAATAAAATTATACACATAACCAACTCCAATAAAAAAAATTAATCATTCTAACATGGAAAATTAACAATTTCAATATAAAGAATTTGTAAATATATTTTAACGGGTTTAAGCCATTAGAGATGATAAGGTAATTTTAATTTGCTTTTTCATTTTATTTCATTACCCTTGGCCTGCCCTGAAATGTTAGAGTTTAAAAGGTTCTTTGTCTTTATTATCTTTGGCCTGCGGTTTTGACTGAAAATTTTCCTCTGCACAATCCATTTCAAAGATAAGAGGCGAACCATTTCACCACTGAGCAATATCAAGAACTTCCTGCGTACAAGAATCTGAGCCATGAACACAGACTTCGCTGAGACACGCACAGACCAGCCAGCGATGAGTGATCCCTTGCAGTCACGTATTACGGTTCCAAAACCTGCCTTTCCATCTGAGCTCCTGTATGAACCATCACAACTCACCTTGAGAGAACCAGAAAGGGGTTAATTTGGACCATTGTCTAACCACCGCAAACTGGTTAGAGCCATTTTCAGAAAACAAACCCCTCGATTTCCAGTATTCATGCACATTAGCAGTCAAGAGAGTGATGAGTTTTCAAGGGGTCAGGTGGGTCGCCATCAAACACCAGTTTGCATTCGAATTTCCATGCATTCCAGCAGAAAAATGCCACAAACGATCTCCTGTAA